TGAGCCAAAGAACACCGCATATGCCACAGCCAATTCAAACCACGTGATTCCAAAATCATCGGCGCGCCGAGAGAGGGATGGATCGCGCCACTTCAACTGTCGAAAAAATACCACGCACGAAAAGCAATATGTGCTCCAGAAGGACATGCCTGGCCCACCACCTCGGGAAGTTCCTGATTAAATATCCAGGACGGTTCTCCAACTGACCATGTGCCCAAAATATTCTGGAAGTTGGCAAAGGCATCAACCGAATTATTGGAACCCTGAGTTTGCGATGGGTGTTCTTTCTGCAATTTCAATTGGGCATGAAGTGAATTCAGTTCTGCGAGATATAAATAGGCCTCAAAAAGAGCTTCGATTTGTCTCTGAGAGTGTTGGGAAATGGTGCACGCTGCATCAAGTAGAGCTGGGAGATCACGTTTATTGACTTCCTTGGCTACATGATCTGCAAAATCATTACCCAGGATAGTGGAAAGGTCGTCCACATCAACTGCCTCCTCCTTACAGCGATGAGACTTAACTTTAAAAATACTATGATAAAGTGGGTCCCAAACCGATGACAAAGTCTGGATGAGATCTGCGCGCGCGAGATGATGAACCTTTGTAGACAAAATCCCATTTGAGATAGCATTAACGATCTTTACGACAAAACTAGAGTCCGAGAAAACAGACATGAAGCGATGTGGCTGATGATGATGAAAATAATGCGCCAACCAGGTGACCGCCTCAAGTTCCCCACGATTAATGGATTGAAACCCTCGGGTATGAGAAGTTTGAGTGACGATGAAATCACCAACTGAAGGATCTGTGGAAGAGTGCCGAACATGTTGAACAACGGCCCAAGCCGCTCTGCAACAGTTTTGCTCCCGAGGTTTATCACAGGTACCATCAGTATAAAAGATGCAATGTGTTTGAGGCTCGACGAAAGGCTGGTCAAGGAACGGCCCCTGCCGACGCAATTTAAGACGATTATAAACAATCTGTTGGGCATGACTTGTAGCCAATGGTAGCCACAACAAATTCGGGTGGGCTGTAAGAGTCTGAATAGCAGATGGATGATTATCCCGAACATGTTTGAAATCTGGACAAAACAAAAGGCGATGTTCATGAGTATCAACCTCTCCACAAAACGCACACTTATCGGAGGCTGATGCGTCCCATATGGCCTTGGTAGCACCAGTTTGAAACCCCCCAGTGAGGTTTAAGGCAATCAATCGAAGGGTAGCGTCTGAAACTGTGCGAAGAACCTTGTGCTGAGTATAACTATCGAACGATTGCAATGTAACACCCTTGCGATGTTGAACCTGCTGAAATACATAAAATGACCAAGCTTGTCGGAGTTGAATGCGGATTTCCTTGGTGGATTGTATGCGAAGAAAAATTTGATGACCACTTGGCATCTGAACAACACCTCCAGGTTTAGGAATCCATTGAACTTTAGCGAGATACTGCGACAAGGCGCCGCACGGCCCATATCCAATGGAGTCTGAGCAAACACAATCCCAGATCTCCTGCATTAAATGCGGATGATAATGAAACAAACGCCGGAAAGAACACAGGGCTGTTGCAATAACATACAACAAGGGATCCTCCACCCGATCACACAACATATGGAGAGCTAGGTACGAAGAGGCATATTTATGGGGACCAACAAGTACATCGGATGCCTGCCGACGAAGTTTTGCAAAATGTGTCTCCCCTATGAATTGGCTCTCAGCCCCATAGAAAGCAAGTGGCCAGATTGCAGACTGAATTTTACTTGCTTTCTCGCGCAGAGGAATCTGTTGTTTACTCAGACGACCCAGGCGTCGACTGGCAGACAGCATCCTATCTTTAAGACAGCCAAGGACGACCTTCTTTGTATATTGTAGCATGCATCCAAGGTCTTTTGATGCGTGTTTAATTGCTATGGCGGATTGATCATGGAGAAAAAGCGACTCTGTTGATTGCCAAAACTGCCTCATATCCTTAGAGGTCCCCCACCCCCATGACTTGTTGATGTCAACTTTCATACGCAGTGCACTGGTGAAATTAAGAGTGCTAGTCATAGCCCGAAAAAGAGCACGTTGAGAAGACGAAAGGAATGTCCAGTTATCAGCGTAAGTGAATGGTTGAACTTGAACGAATGACATTCGGTGGAAAAAGCTGCTGCAATGGTCAACATAGCGCACACTGAAAGTGCGTCCCCTTCTGGAGCCCCTGTTGCGGAAAAATGAGCAGCGCTGAACTTAGACCGGATTTGGAGCATACGTTGCATTTTGTTAAGGGAGCGAATCCAAAAAGAAATTGCCTGCTCTGACGCGCCAAAATGGATAAGGAGATGTTTTGCGACTTGACGCGGAATCATGTTAAAAGCTTTGACAAGATCTAAAGTGAACCCTCCAATTGGTTGATTCAGGGCGTGAGCCTTTTCAATAAGAAACTGTTGTTGGATGGTAATGTCTTTCACAGCGCGAAAAGGAAGTCCCCCTGCGATAGCGGGATTCCAGGATTTGCCCCATGCATCCAAAAGCTGATCTGCCACCAATTTAGAGGCAAGGCGTGGAAGATATCCAAGGATAGTAACTGGCCTCCCATCCGAGAAGGTTTGAGGACTAGGAATCTTGGCCAAGAGGATGATTCTGGCCAGCATCTGATTCGTTGTAAAATTAGTGGGCCAAATATAATGAAAGATGGTCGCCAAGTCATCAATGGCCTGAGGGGGAAGTAATTTAAGCTCCTGTGCACGCCATCCATCAATACCGGGGGCCTTATAGGGTTTCAATCTTTCAGTGGTTTGACGAATGAGTTTGGGATCATCCCACGAGATCGGAATAGACGGTTGAACTGGGACATTTTGCATGACTTCATCTAGCACGTCCTGCCAAGCCTCAATCCTATCTGCCTCATCTTGAGTATCACGACACCACATAGGATTCCAATATTGGAAAAACTGATGAGACAATTTGTCAATATCTTGTGTGTATTGGTCCTGGCAAAGAATTTGACGCAAAGGCAGTGTAGTATCAACTGTAGTAACAACCTGGATTAGACGTTGCTCCTGAACTTTAATCGTGACAGGGATGTCACCAAACCTTGCCCGGTCCTACCATGAATTGAGTGTCCGTGGTGAGAAGGAGCCGGACCGTACCTTTGGATAATCGGATCAATTTTGCCTCGGCGGTAATCGGACACGGTAAGCCCGAGATGACTTTCTGTTCAGTTTCTCTCAAAGCACGGAAAATCAATGAACCATTTTTATCCTTGGTATCTTGTTGAATAAGATGTTTCTTGGCGGCACGGTGTATCTTCTCTTCTTGACGGACGGCAAGATCTGTTTCATATTTTGTAATTTGTAAGAACAAGTGTAGCAACGGGAGATCGGGAACGCCCTGTGGCAAGATTGGAACACATTCAAAGGTTAAAATCCATCGTTCCCAAGCCCTGCCGAAACCTTGTGCACGGCGAATACATTCCCATTCTTTATGTAGTGTTTGCCGGGTTACTGAAGGAATGGAGGACCAACTATGATGGACCGTAAGATGCTTTGAGACCTGACGAAACAAGGACGCCAATCGTCTGGTTTGACGGACCTTGAGACATGTCTTCAGACATGTAGGTTCACCAGAAGGATTATATCCTCCAGTCAGGTCATGTTTGATGCTGCGTTTTGTTGCTGGACGAACAAAACGTGGAGGTGCACACCTACCTCTAAAATGAGCTGGGAGACGAGGGAGTGGGTTGCGAAGTGGATCTTGGTGGTGCATTTCCTGCAGCGTCTTACAAACAGAGTTTTCCACCACCTCGGACCACAATCGAAGTTTGTGTTCAGCATCTTCCCTAGATTGAATATGAGTGAGAAGAAAAGCTTTCTGAGCTTGATGCACATATTGCTGACTAAAAATGGTGGGGTCAAGAGCAAAAATAGACCAGTCGTGTGGGACATACAGTGTTGGTGATTCTGTGACGCCACCCAAAACTGTGAATTTGGCATAAATTGGAGAGTGATCGGCAAAAAGGTGTGCTGGACCTACCCACATATCACATATCATGGATGCAAGAACTGGATGAAAAATGAACGAATCAAAACGTGTAGAACTACGACACGTAGGTGGGAGGCACTTCCCCAGTGAGGCAGTTGCAAATTCGAAACCCTCAGCACATCCTCTATGCGCAAAAGCTTGCCACGCAGTCAGGTTTTGTATCTGTTGGTTAAAACCCCCTGCAACAATGAAAGGGATTTCTGACCTTGCTATATAGTCATAGACATGCGAAAGCAAAATATTGTTTTATGTCTGTGCCTCAGTTGTGCGACCTGGGAAGAAATATGTGGAAATCATCAAAACCTCAATCGGCCCAAATTGACAAACACAGGCATTGAACCTCCCAGATTGGAAGAGTGTGCCAGCATCAGCAATACGAGAACATCGGGTCGGTAGCCTAGATAGGATTGCTGTCCCAAGTGCCTCACCCCTTCGGGACGGCCGGTCATGATCGAACACATGATTCTTGAACTTATCGTCAACAGGAACACCCCACCAAGCTGAGTAGGGGGAGTCACGGAGCGCCGTGGAAAACTCATGTTGAACGAACGACGTGGCTGATGTCTCTGCCAAGGCAACAATATCAGCGTCAAGCGACAAAAGCAAATCTTTTTTACTGGCAAGTGAGGTTGGGTTGATCACGCATACGCTAACAGTGTGCGCTGGGCCGGGATTACTTGCCTCACCCACACGGCATCCATGAAGAAAATTGTAATCAAACATCAAGTGAGAAATAGGTGTAGTACAAGGTTGAATATCACGCCATGAGCAAGCAATCCACTGCGAGCATGGAACTAGAAATCGTAAGATTGCGTTGAGTAACGCAGGAAATGCAACAAAATTCATACCACGTTGGAAAAACAACGTTGAACGCTTCTCATCATACGTGTTGAAACCAACATCAATCCAAGAAGAAAGGATAGGGCCAACGATGGTCAAAGCATGAGTGAAACAAAGGGCGTGCACAAATCGTTGGCGTCACGACGCCTGCTGCATTTCAGTATCTCCAGGGCTGGATTTGGCAGGGCTCGGAGGCTGCGGCCGCTTGCCGGACATCTTGGCTTGATCTACCATAAACTGCTGAAGCTGCATGATCGAGCTCTGCATCGATTGAGTGATCTTAGCTTCTGTGTTGGCTAGGGCCGCCTCGAAAGTGCTCTGGTGTTTGGCTTCAAGTTGTTGAAAGTCGTGCTTTACCTCGGCCTTGAAAGCCTTCATGTCACGAGCGATGGCCGTTTTCCAAGAAGCATCTGTCTTTTCTCGCTGGTTGAATTTCTCTTTATTAATGGTGGTGATCTCTACCTGCTGAGCAGATAACTGCGTCTGGGCTCGAATGGATGGTTCCGCTGTGCTCTTTTCACTCGACAAGCGTGAGGATGCACTTCCGGTAGAAGATGAAGCCCAATGGGCCCATGGATCGCCGAGCCCCTGAAGCTCATCGTCCAATGATGCTAGCGATTTCCACGAGGGTTCCTGCTTGGATTGACCAGCCACGATAGTGGGTCTGGAGCGCTCATTTTTCGGAGTGACGGGAGAAAGCAGGACCGAGTTATTCCCCCATGTGTGAAAAGCACGAACAGGCTTCTCAACTGTAGAAATGAGCCAGGTCGATGTGTTGAGAGCACGGATAGGTTTGCCTTTGATGCCACGGACGGCAAGCCACGCACGAACGTTCTCACTTGATGCCCCAGTGGGCGCAGGTGCAATCTTGGCGAGGAAATTCGTTACCAGCATAGGTGGTATGGTCTTGCGCGGAAAGGCTTTTGCAAAAGTGGCAGGAAAATGATCTATGTGTACTCGAACTCCATAATGCAAACTTCCTGTGGTAGAGCGTGCGATGCCAAGCTGATGTTCCACCGAATCAGCAAACTCACGGACTTGCTCAAAAGTGGCATCTGGTTGCCAAATGACTGAATACTTTTCATCTGCTCGATTTAGTGTCTCGGACTTTGGTGTCAAATGGACGCCCTCTTTACCGCTATGCTTCATGAGCAGTTCAATAGCAGCTTGCTTAATGCGGCAATGGAACTGAAAGGAACTGGCGTCCTCAGGTACACAGGACTGATCTGCATTACGAAAGTTGCGGCCCCATGGGCTTGTGCTATACTGTTCACTCGGGGTGATACACAGGACCTGAGCACAGGTCTTGGCAGGTGAAGTCAGAAGAGAGGCCCACAAGTCCTCCTTCATCTCAGCCTTCCATGCCGTGATGGCAGCCAAGCACGATGGATGCACTGTCACATCATCACCTGAGGTAGTACGAAGTTGGATCTTGCGTTGTCCAAATTGGTGCAAACAGGCTTTAACAATAACCTGCACGCCTTGCTTATCGAGAGCAGGGACATGAATGGTCTGACACGGTGTGGTGAAGGTAGGACACTCGGCGCCCACCACGCACACAGCAAATGCATTAGGCCTGGTGGAAAGATTGCGAACGACATCACCTACACAGGCAGCATCTGCAAGCATAACCCCTTCACGAATGGTGCTCGTACAGGACAGACAGGCAGCGTCACTACCATCATCTAGCGCAAAGGACTTGGGCGCAATGGAAAAGTTCTCGGCGCGAATCAGTGTTTGATCAACGAAAGGCTTGGGGCGCCAAGTCTTAAACTTTTTCTGTCGTTCAGCCTGCAGGTCTTCGAACTGCATATGCTTGACATGCATGGCTTGGGCCAAACGCTGAATCTGGGCGATCTTTTCCTCTCCATCCTCAATGGCCATTATATGTTGAAATCTAGCCACGCCGGCTTTCTCGTAAAGGTCTTGGACGAAGGTATTGACCTCTGCTGGATTGGCTCCCCATTGCAAGAGGAATTCAACTGCCTGTTGTTTCAAACGGTGGTGTGCATCGAGTTTACTCCCTCCACCATGTTGCTGCGTCACAAAGTGGATCCTCAAAGTATCCTCTGCGGTATGCGAAGCAGGCAAGTAGGCATCAAGACGTTGCTCATTGATCAATTGCTTCCCCCCCAGAAATTGCCCTCAGGACAAATTGCTCTCCAGTATGGCGAGAGGCTCGCTGCCATGGTCGAAGCAAAGTGTCAACCAAAAGGTCACGAGGCCATCGGCGGGATGGATGCCACGTATCCCAAGGTTTCAGGGCAACCTTCAGCGCATTACAGTCCGATGTTTCTGGTGGAAGTAGGGCCTGGGCGATCGACGCAGTGCAAATAGAGCGGAACTGAGCCTTAGCAATGCTTGGCGAACCGGACATTTGACGAAAGGCAACACCCCATTCACAGCGGTAGTCCACTCCAGGGGGAACCATGCAATTGCTCAGCAGTTGCCAGCACTTCCCACCCATTATCTGACTCTTGCCACGTCAAGTGGTCGATCATCTCATGTGGAGGAGTATCATGAGTAGCCGGTAACATGAACACCATATCAGGACATGGCTCGGCCAAATTCAACGGCACACCCCACATGTCCGAAGGATGAAGCAGTTGAGGCACATGTTTGGAGAGCATGTATAACAGGCTATTTGTTTGACTCTGGACATTCTTTGCAGCCACAAAAATGCCTTGGGGCGAACGCACAACCGCAAATGGACGAGCAATCAGATGACATTCTCCCTCACGAACCTGCAAATGACCGAAAACACCGTCGAAATGAACCGTATCATAGCCCGGGATATCTTCTAGTGTCAGTGGGATCTGTACATCTGGATAAGCTTTGGGACGCCATGTGATGGAGCCACCATGTGCATTTGGAAAAAGAAATCGCAGAATGCGGGCCACACGGAGCTCAGGATGCACATGGATGCGACCAAACCCTGGGCCCATAGGGATATACCACTTTGCAAATTCTTCTGGTGGGTCTGACCAAGGCAAAGTTGGTGACACAGCTAGCTCCCTGATTTCAATTTTGCCCGTAGCCGAATTCACGAGCACCTCCTGTCGATTCGCAGACAATCGATGGTTCAAAGCAAGGTCAACAAGGTGCACAGGGGTGGTCTGCCATGATACCTTGGATGTCTGGGCAATGGTATTGATCAATCCCAACATGGCATGTGGTGTGGCAATAGCGTTGCCAACCAGGGGATAGGCCTCTCGTGGATCCAAAGGAGCTGTCCAAGGGGTCATAAGCCCCATTGCATTGCAAAGCTCTGGAAGGGAAAGCCACCGGATGATGTCGCCTTCCACAATCAAGTTGCCATACAAACCCCCTCTACTCAATGTCGACTGATCTAACGTATGTGCAAAACCATAATGAGCAAGAATGCAAGCCAAGGTTTGCGACTTATTCTTGAGGCGAAAGAGCTTGGCGGATTTTGCATCACCCTTCTTGTCACCTGGCACAAAATTGGGGTGTCAGTACAATCTCAATGTTTCTGTTGATAGGGCGGGTGCGAATTTGTGTGCCAAGCATTCTTTCGGACGCAGAATGTCGCAGGCCTGCAAAGTAACCTGGGAGGCCTTCTGCCATGGACGAAAAGCAAAATCTGGCTTAAGATCTGCAAGCTTACGAACCAGGGTCAAAAGGCACCGTTCTCGACTTTGCGGCAAGACATCTAGCAAATTGGCCTTGCAGCCCCATTTGACCTTCCAGCCAAGCCAATCAAGCACATCAAGCGCAACTGGGTAGTGTGCATGGGCCATGAAGTTGCTCACATTTTCAAGGCCAACGGCGGACGGTTGAAGAACCGTGGCTTTCAAAAGAATTTCAATGGTCAAGAATCCATCATCCCTCGACAGGCCATGAGCGATATTGGCGAGACTCCATGCCGGACAAGGCGGAGAGGCAAAGAGGACGTCAACATGACACAAAAATTGCATCCACCAACCCTGACAAAGGTCCCCTTGAAACGTGCGTAAACAAGTCGGTGCTAAATGCCGTGGGTCAGGGGGAGTATTTTCCAAAAAGGGCATAGAGGGTTTCCTTGGGGAAGTAGAGGTTTTCATGTGTCCAAACACATGGGCCGGGGATAAGCAGACAAATCAACCACAAAAAACGACGTAGAAATATCTCATTTTCAATGAAAAACACAAAAAATGTTTGTTTTTCGATTGGTTTTGTGCCCAGTGCCCAGTAGTTTGGGGAGCGCATTCCAAAAAATACACGCGCGCAATAAGCTAAACATGAAAAAGCGACGTAGAAATAGGTGTTTTCCATGAAAAACACAAAAAACGATGTTTCTTTCTTCATTAGTTGTAACATGGCAACAAATGACAAAAATACAGTCACCACAGTAAGCTAGCAAACAAAAAAACAACGTAGAAATAAGTGTTTTCCATGAAAAAACATGGAAAACAATGTTTCTTTCTTCATTGGTTGTAACATAGTAACAAATGACAAAACATGCATTCACCACAGTAAGCTAGCACACAATAAAAACAACATAGAAATAGGTGTTTTCTATGAAACTTTTACAAAAACAATGTTTTTCATTTGCAGTTTGAAGCAACTTAGAGCAACTACATACTACATGCTGTGTACCCACGCCTTATCAGAAGTATGAAAGACACATTTCTGGTGAGGCCAGGCAACATGATTGACACACTGACAACATGATTGTCTCAAGAGCTCTACTATTTGACAGCATGCTTGTGTTGTCAGGCGCTGGCCTCTTTGCAACTTGCCACGTGGGGAATGTTATCAGCCGTACTGTAGCAGATGCCAGGGCAACACAAATGCAGGAGATGCTGGAACACTGGAACTGCTGTAACAGATTCCTGGTATTACAATATATGCCCACTGCCCACAATGATTTTAAACGACGTAAATAGAAATAGAAATGAAACCTCAATGAAAAACATACAGAAACACTGTTTTTGTTTTGCAACAGAGGCTGTGTTTGTGCTGAGTTGGTGCTGAGATGCAGCTCCAGTGTGACAGACAGTTTGACAATGGTCATATCAATTGAGCTAGAGCTGGGTATGTGTTTTGTCGGATTCTACGTGTCCTCCTGCAGCTGTTTCACACCATATGTTTTACCATTGTTGTCATTTGTCACTGTCAGGCAGAGATTCATTACATTACATTGTATCTTCAAAAGATTCCTTACACTCATTGAAGATGCTTGGATTTTCTCAAGACATAGTACAGTCGATTTGTGAACATGGCGCAAGTCACTGTCACAGCCATGTCACAGTCCATCAGTCCATCCTACTATCCTACCATCCCAATCCTACCATGGCAATGGAGAAGCTGGTAGATGTGGCGGCCAAAGCAAGTCACGCCTATGACTTGCTTGCTGGTTCAGCTGCACCAATCCTTCGGTATGGCAGCTTGGAGCAGGCGGGGAAATGTAACTCAGACTCAGCACCTAACAGAAGGATGAAACAGAAGGATGAAACCTTAGTCAGTGCCAGTGCACCCTGTCGCTTCACTACTGTCCCTCAGGTCCAGAATTATCACAGGGCCATGGCAACTTTGCGGGAGATCACGCGAGAGCCTATTCAGGAAATTCGTGCGATTGTTGTGTGATCACAGTTATGTCATGTCTCTGTCATAGTGCTGGTCATGGTCACTGTCCATTGGTCCATTGGTTCTTAGAGTAACACTTCTAGACATGCCCACATAGAAATGCTTTTTTGTCAGGATGCCAGCCAATGTTGAAGTAAGGTGGATCGTGAGCACAGTGCCACCTTGACCGAGGGCCAGGCTCAGGGACCTACAAAGAGGCTAAGCCGTGGTGGTGCGTCATATACTTTGCGCCAGCTTTTTGAAACTTGGCCACCTTGGAACTTAGGTTTGATCTCTTTTTTGATTGCTGTGGAGTCCACGGTGCTAGCTTCTGGAGTTTTCTAGCAAAGGAGTACATGGCTTTGGAAGTGCAACTTCGAAGCCAGCGCAGACTGAGAACAGTGCTCCAAACAGCGTCCCATGTTGCAAGTGGTGACTTTTCAGACTTTCTGGCAGCTGTCAGTGGAGACGGGGTCAGCTTTGACACCATGCCGCGTGGTGGCCCAGGGGCTTCTACCCTGGCTCGAGCAAGATTCAAGATGGATTCTTTCTCACGCTTGCCAGGCAGCATCAGTGGAAAATTTGGTGTTCTGAGTCACAGTCACAGTCTTCACAGCCGCAGCCTCGATTGTCACAGTCTCTAATGGGACGGATCATCAGTATTGGTGACATGTTTTGGTATTCAGCAGGTTGTGTAGTTTTATGCATGGATTCAATGACACATGCATTTTGATGCAATATTGCAAGTCATCAGATACTCAACAAAGCCTTTCCTCAAAGCTTAGCAGGACAGGACGGCCATGGTTTTACGTACCCTCCACTCTCCACACAAAGGCAAAGTGGTTGCCGTTTACCGCTTGATGTATTGTATTGGTTTTGTTTGGAGGCTTGGCAATTTGTTTGAATTACACATTCGCCAACACCATGTTGTCTCAGAATTCGATGCTTCCATGCAGGGAAAGGATTATTTCATCCTAGAAGAGTTTTGCACAAAGAGACTTGGCGTCACGCATTCTATGCTGATAGTGTCAAACTCAATGTCAGTGAAGTGATGTGGTCTTGTTCCAAGAGCAGTCTTTGCGCAATGCCTTTGGTTTGATAATTTTGTTTCAATTTCACAGTCTGTGATGTTTGAATGCCTCCTGCTCAGGACTGATGAATCTATGCGACTGTGGAAACAATGCGTTGAAGACGATGAGCGACAGGTCGTTTCTGTCAGTGCCAGGTCCAGCTCCAGCTATGGCAAGCATTGACACTTCTCTTCCACGAGCTCCAGCTGGTGCAGAGGATTTTGTTGAGACGGAAGAGGATGATTTTCTTCGGCCACCAAGGCTTCCAAGAGCTGGAAGAGTGGCTGCAAGTTTTGAGCCATCTTCGATGCTCAATGCTAGCACTGTTTGGATAGACAACATCCCTGTTGTGAAGCGCGCAGACAAAGGGCTAGTGGCTGGACCAGACAAGACACATGTACTTTTCTTTGTCCCTTAACACTGACATCATCACAGCCTTTGCTTCAGGGTGTCACGTGCCCGTGTCACCGTTCAATCAGGGAGACCACGGGCAAGGAGCGCAAGTGCAAGAAGGAGTTGTCAGTGTCTACAACACTGTCAGATGACATAGTTGTCCGCATGATTGGGTGGTGGCTCTTGCAGGGCTTCTGCGCAGCACATCATTAGCATGCTTACGATCCTTATGAACAAGAGAGATAGAGAGTGAGATCTTGTCACTGTCACGGTTTGCCAGTATTGTTCTCACACTTTGTTTGTGAACAGCTGAGGATTTAAGCTTGTTCAGCGCCCTGGAGAGTCAGACGAAGAATTTCATGATGGTGTGGAGCCCAATACTCTTCTGGAACCTGACCGAATTACCTTTGTCACTGTCCCCCACTAAACTAGTGTGTGTGTTGCTTAACTTCAGGCCCCGCCATCCTCTACATCAGAGTTACCCACTCTGGAGTCTTTGCAGCAAGAGATTGCACACCAGGCTGCTTTGGAAGGTTTGTCAGATTGAATTCCCTCACCAAGCTACAAGAATATCCAATGTTTCCATGATCATAATCGTGTCACCACCAATGACCTTGCAACAGGTTCTGGCCAATGATGAACAAGATCAGAACCAGCAGCAAGCTTGGAAACGAATTCAAATGCCAGTTTGTATTTTTTCGCCCTTTGTCAACCAATTTCCTTAAGTTTCAGGAACTTTTCTCTAAGTTCCAGGAAACTTTCTCTAAGTTCCAGAAATTCCTCT